CGTAGCTTTTCAGAGAGCATCCGAGCAAAGGAATGAATGGAAAATCATGATCGCCGATGTCTGCACAGATCTGGCACTGGATGATGATGAAATTAATCAACAAATGAAGCCTAGATTCGTAGATCTGTCCCTTAGATGACATTGTATTCAATCTGTTGTGTTAATCTTTCTGTTTTCTCCACCTTTCATAAAAACATGATACGACTAAGGGTTTTGCTTTGTGTTTCTTGTGTTGTTGTTGTTGTTGTTTTGTTACTGTTGTTGTTGTTGTTGTTGTTGTTGTTGTTGCTGCTGCTGGTGGTGGTGGTGGTGGTGTTGTTGTTGTTATTCGAGTGTAATGCCTCATACAAATTTTAACATAGCGCACGTTATGTCGAAGCCAGAGAAGTTGATCCACTGTTGGGACACTCTGCTAAAGGAAATGTTATTTCAAATAAATGTAAAAAATAAATCGGATTATGCAGGGACTTAAACTTTGAACTCTCAAGTGGCATAATATTTAGTTAGCTTCCTATAATGCCCGCTTGTTTACATCCAGATGAAAGTGTCCCCTACCCAAAGAAAGAAAAACAAAACAAACCAAATCAATACAAAATGAAGAGACAAAAATAAAACAAACAAGCAGAGAAATAAATAAGAACAATAAATAATGTGTCGCTTTGGCTACACAAAAATATCTAGCAAAACAAATAATTATATGTGTTGTGATCTTTTCTTTTATCGTCTATTCTTTATAGCAACGCACTGAATCATCATTTTTTTAAAAATAACTAGCTATACAAGTAAAGGAGTAAAATTAGGTTTTCAAACGTCTTGGAAAACGATAAACAAGCGCATATTTTACAGGACAGAGATCGTTAGCTTAATAAGAGTCTTACCTTACAATGAGAATGAACAGTAAACTTGTGCACAATCAATATAAACAAATTTGGGGGCAAAGCGTTGTCCTTAAGCCTCACCATAAATAGATAAAACGTCTCAATTTACCCAAGTAATGGGTTCATCATCATCTTGTGATCCTGAAACACCAAGCGATAGACTATCACCTGTTTAAGGCAACTGATAACAAGGGATGCAAAGGTACAAAGGCCTATAAAGCCTTCCTACTTGTTCGTTAGAGGGTCAACTCGTACAGAGATACAGATTATAATTATCAAAAATACCCGAGCGCGGTGTCACTCCCTAGTGGATAAAGCACGCGGTTGTGCGGTTTTTGCTGCTTTATCTTTTCTCACTAAACCTTCACCTTCTCATTTGTGAGCGATATGCGACATCATGGTTTCTACGAGCAAACGAAAAGACAAAGGTAAAACCTGGAAGTAATATACGCCTTATAAATATTTCTTTGACAGTCCTGTTGCCAGCGATAAAATTTAAAAAGGGAGGCAAGCGTGTTTACTCCCCCCCCCCCTTTTCTATATGGGCACACCCTCAAACGATGAAATTTTACCCACAGTCTACCCTCAAGCGACAAACTTTTACCCACAGGCTACCCTCAAACGACAAACTTTTACGCACAGGCTATTCCCAAACGACGTACCCACAGTCTACCCTCAAACGATGAACTTTTTCCCACAGTCTACCCTCAAACGATGAATTTTTACCCTCAGTCTACCCTCAAACGATGAACTTTTTCCCTCAGTCTACCCTCAAATGACGTACCCACAGTCTACCATCCCATGATGTACCCACAAGCTGCCTTCAAACGAGACAAACGCCCCCCCCCCCACCCCAGTTTGTAAGTAGTTTTTGTTGGTCCCTCTCAGCCTGTTCAAATCCAAAAGTATTTCAACTATAGTAACCAGCAAGATTTCCCTTACTGAGGTTAGTAAAAACACAGCAAGCTAATCCTCACTTGACACATTATGTGATCCAGAGACAAAATGTGAAGTATCAATAGTTTGGCGAGAACTGACGTGTCCGAAGTCTCCACCTGTCCGGGGCGGCCTGTGTAAATATTGATATCAAACCACTGGAGTATCGCCGACAAGATTCCGATGATTTTAGATAAAGGGATTATGAACAATAACTTCGTCATTCGAGAATTCACCCCATTTTAGACATTGTGAAATCGATTTCATAGCTTGCACAACTTTTGCATTTCTTCATGCTGTATTAGTCTTTCGTGTTTACTGATAACAATAGGGTGGCTGCTTTAGACGTCCTCTTAGATTCACCGCATGATATCTGTTACCCTGTATCCACCAATCCGACAGCAATATTTCTCCAATGATTGGCCATTCATCTTTATATATTCTTTAATCTCTCTCTCTCTCTCTCTCTCTCTCTCTCTCTCTCTCTCTCCTTCTCTCTTTCAATCCTTATCGATTTGTATGTATACGTGTTTTCACATATGTGTATTTTGTCAGTCTGTCATTGAGCATGATGTGACCGCTGACACACACACATGTACGTCATTGTGCTTTTCCGCTGGAACTGTGACAATATTGTCTTTTGTCGGGTACGAAGTACAAAGGACAGGCTACTGAACGAACTCGGCTCACTTGTAGCCATTTATCAATGATATCATGATGCGCCTCTTCCTCTCTCTCTCTACCTCTTGTTCCCTCTTGGCTGGCTCTTTTGATCTCCCAGAACAAGGAATCTCTGCGTTGTACGCGTATTGATATTGGTATTTCTATTAACTCGGGTAGACAAGGAGATGCTGCCTGGTGTACAGCTCTAGTAAACTTGTGTTGCTGCATGAGTCTGCACACACTCACGAGGTCGATAGTCTCTCGTTATGGCTCGCGGCTCCTTGTTTCTTCGACTGATTTTTTTCTAAACCACGACTCGTGTTGAAAACAGGGTGGTTGTCAATACGAGGAGGGGAGTATTACTGTCTGTCTGTCTGTCCCCCTCTTTTTATTCTCTCTGCCCCCCCTCCCCGCTCTCCCCCAAACCATCACACACACACACACACACACACACACACACACACACACACACACACACACACACACACACACACACACACACGTAGAGTGACAAGCCACCCTTCCCCTACATTTGCATACATACAACCACCATATCTCGTCCTCTTGGGTTCTAACAAATCGATCACTCACGTGTCAGGTTTACGCAGAGAATTTTTCTTCCCGTTCTCGCCAGAAAAGGTTGGGTGATCAGACCACTCTCTAGCTTGTTATGGCTTCATTCCTTGAGTGAAGACATCAGCAGCGTTTATAAGGAAGTAGAAGAAATCTAAAACTCACCTCTCCTCTCCTGAATTCCTAGCAAAAAGTGTGTAGATTCCGGACAAGGTGAGAAAACCAGCATTCAAACAGGCAAGGTAGTACGCCCAGTGTGGCGAGACAGTAGTCCACCTGTTGTTGGGGAAATGCAAATACATTAGACGTTAGTTCTATTTGTGCGAAGCATTCATCAAGCAACAGTTTCCTTTTGTTGTTTTGTAAGAGTTTTACGGCGCTTGCAAGTGCGTAAAGTAGTCATATGAGCGCGCGAAACACAAGTTGGTTGCATTAGCAACAGTTCGTAGCACGGCCTGATTATGGTCAATATTTCGATTAAAATGTAAAAGATTCGTGGTAAAAAAATACTTAGTTTGTTTTACTGAACTAAACCAAGAGCGTTTAGACTACGTTGCAGTTGTTCTACTGCAAATGTATAAGTGTCCAAATCCTTCCCCAACAGACAGAATGCAACAAAGGCTTCCCTTCAGCTCTGTTTGGAAGAACAGTAGGCCTGTGACGTGAGTCAGAACATGGTTTCAGGTTTAGACGAGGACGATTTCCTAATTGGGAAACTTTTAAAAGTTTGCCAAGGTCATTGCCAAATCTTTGGTCCGCCCCCATCTCTTAAAAACCTGTTTCGAAACGAAAGGAGTGTAAAGTATGTTTGACTAAGCCAGCTCTTCAAGGGATGGTCTAAAATAACGCCGCAAAAAATGTAGATGGTTTTTAAACCCCAATCAACACACAATTTAGATACTTTAGGAGGCGTGTGAAGACCACTTCTGTACGGACCATCACACTCAGGAATCGAACTCAGGTCTTCTGCGTGCGACGGCAAAACACCATGTAGCATGATATGACAAGGCAGGAAAACATTGGTGGGTTGTTTGTTTTTTTGTGTGTTTTTTTTAGGGGGGGGGGGTGGTTAGGAAAAGAGGAAGGTATAGAACATGTAGGTATAGGACGTGATGTGCTAAAGTCTCCAGTTGCACGTACCCGTATTCACGATCACGAGGAAGGATTTTTCTGAGATCATGTCGGTATTCGTTCACCATCACCACAGCAGCGATTGACAACATGCCTGGGAAATAAAAATAATACTTTTTAAAACACGATATTTTCCGTTAGGTTCGTTCCCATCAATACTGGTCACATAATGTCACGAGTGCTACCATGAAAACTCACGTTCGAAAATGGAGCCAACGCTTTTAAATTTTTTCTTTTCATCCTCGAAAACGATTTACCAAAAACAATCAGTCTCCGTTGCAGAAAAAGTGTGCTGAACAATATCATTTTATTTCATTAATATTTTTGTTTGGGGAGAGGAGGAGGACGGGTGGTCGGCTTCTTCAGGACTCACTGTGAATTAGAAGTGGATTTACCTGCATGCAGACAGAGAATACCCTGGGCGAGGAACCATTTCGTCTTGCAGCGTCTGCAGCACGTCATCACAATGTCCACTATAACCACGACCAACATGATGTACAGGGAGACACCCTCCATGACACGAGCGCCGTTGACCCACCCTGCCGGAAATAATGATGATAATAA